TTAAAAGAAAAGGCAGTATTCATTTAAAAACACAGTAGATAAAATAATATTGCTACATGATTTAAAACTTAATAGAGAAATATAAAATACTCCAAAATTTAATAGTATATGAAGCAGAAATATATAAAAAATTAATAGTGATTATCAGTGGTTACATAAGGGCAACTTCTAAATGTTCTTTCTGTTTATTATGCTTTTATGTATTTCCAATTTGCATATGGTAGACCATAATATGTATTGCTTTGATAGTTAGAAAAAAATTATAAAAGCCTACATAGAAAATATAAAAGAAAACATCTAATTTGCACTATCTAAAGGTGATTGATTAAGCGTTGTGTGCTCGTTTTTTTCTAATTTTCACATTCTGGACTGTAGTTATTTTAAATTTATAATTTCAAAAACTACAAATTTTAATAAGATGACCCATGTCATTACTTTCTGGTAAGATATAACACTAATAATAACACCATAGATTGATGCAAGAATTTACAGGTTGCAAAATATTTTACTTGTATCATTTTACTCAATTCTCACAACACCTGTGTGAAATAGAAATGATCATGTTACAGTTGCAGAAGCTGAGACGCAGAGGCCCACCAAGTCATGTGCCAGATGCCTAAGGGAACCAGTGCGGGACCCAGGGGTTGCGTTTCCAAATGCAATACTCTCTCGACTCCCGTGGAACCCTGCTGGCGATTCCCATCAGGAATGATAAAGCACTCTGCCACTGCAAGCTGGGCACAAGTGCTGTGAGCAACTAAGATGTTTACTGGAAGAGAATGACTTTGATTTGCTTTATAACTGCTCTTTCCACTGTCTTCATAATGACTAATGTTTTAGAAGTTAGGCTTTGATGTTTCACTTAGTGCTTTTCCAGCACATCTCCAATCCCTTGATATTCTCAGCTAATTAAGCACTGAGATAGTCTTTGCATGGAGTACATGTTAATTAACCACAGTGATTCCCAAATTATTCAGCCTGGGTTCAGGACCCTTAATATGCAAACTGACCATCTAGTACATATGAACTCTTTATTTAAATAGTGTCATCTGAGATGAAGCTCAACAAAAGTTTCTATGAAACCTTACTGCAATATCAAAACTTTCCAAAACACTCAAAGTGACCCAACTGGAAGACATAAAAATGAGTGACAGAAATAATAGCTAGCAATAGTACGGAAAGGCTAATTCTACTTCCTCACACTGATTTTCAAATATGTGTCTGCATATTCATTTGAAGACTATGAAATATATTTGGCACTCAAGGATCTCAACTAGATAAGAATGATACCCAACGAGAAAGTTTACATTGTCCCTCAGTAACAATGGGAGCCAATGTCACAGGACTACAGAGATTAGCCCTGAAGAACAACAAAGCGAGTTTGCATGAATGTACACACACCTACAGAGCATTGAAAAACATTGCTCGAGATGAAATTTTAGGATTTCTGCCACAGAAAAGATCAATACATTTGATGAATTAGTTCCAAACAGAAAAAGTTAAATAGGCCTTCTGCCTTCCTTAGAATTAAAAATAGAGAAATATTTGATGAACTTGTCTCCAGAATGAAATGCCGACGTAAACCATGTTTATTAAGGGTTGTAATCACATAAGAAGCTTTTAAAAATAGCTTTGAGCCTGGCAGTGTGGTTCAGCGGTTAAGCATCAATCTGTGATCCAGGAGATCAAGGTTTGATTCCCGGTCAGGGCACATGCCCTGGTTGCGGCCTCGATCCCCAGTAGGGGGTGTGCAGGAGGCAGCTGACCAATGACTCTCAACATAGATGTTTCTATTCCTCTCTCTTTCCCCCTCTCCCTTCCTCTCTCTGAAATCAATAAAGATATATTTTTTTAAAATAGCTTTGAAAGTCAAGCATAATATAAGAGAAATCCACNCTCTCTTTCCCCCTCTCCCTTCCTCTCTCTGAAATCAATAAAGATATATTTTTTTTAAATAGCTTTGAAAGTCAAGCATAATATAAGAGAAATCCATAAATTTCCAAATTCTTATTTCCTGCTGTGAATGTTAACCAAGTTCAGACTTTAACCTTGACATTTGCATGGACAATGACATGCAATATTATTGTACATGGCCACGGAGTTCTTACTTTCATTTGAGAGCACAGGTCACAAAATAGTCTCTTGGAAATTTTCACATAAAGGCATTCAAGTATGTTTAATAAGTACTCTTCTGAATTTTTCTAATGAACCACAATGACATAGTGACATACAGTGACATAGTGGCATCACTCACAAGCATCTCAGATTGTCTAAAATCCGGTTCCTGATTCTTTCTCAACCTGCTTTTCCTGGGGTCTTCTGCATCTCTGTAAATTGGACACACCACCTTGGTAGTTCCAGACCAGAGTCATTCTGGAAAATTCTATCAGCGAATCCCCTAAACTCTTGTTCAAAATGTACTCAGAATTCAACCACTTCTCTCCAGCACATTTGCCACTACCACGGCCCCACTGCCACGCTCTCACCTGCATGATTACGGTGGCCTTCTCACTGTGCCGCTTCCCTCGGCCTTCCCCCTCTGTCAAAGCTTTAAAACTGCAGAAAGAGTGATTTTTTATTTTTATTTTTTTCAGAAAAAGTAGGCAACCATGTCTCTGCTGTGCTTGAACTTCCCAGTGGTTTCCACCTCACTCAGAATAATCCCAAATCTTCACAAAAGCCAGCCAAATGCTGCACAATCTGCTCCCCTGTGAGCCTCTCTGATTTCCCTCCTACTCCCCTGCCTACTCACTGGCTCCAGCCCGCCCGGCTCCCTACTGCTCTGCCACGAAGCCAAGCACGCTGCTGCTTCTTTCCATTTGCCGTTCCCTTTGCTTGGAATGCGCTTCCCCAGTGCTCACTCGGCTCACGCCCTCAGTCTCCATGTCTTTAATCAAAGGTCACCTTCTCAGGGAGCCTTTTATGGTCATTCTCTTTTAAACTGCAATCCCTCTATCCCATCTTCCGTATCCTCAGTCTTTACTTTCTTCAATGTTCTTTGGATCAATTGAGAATATATTTTGTTTAATTTATTTTTGTTTACTATTTATTTCTAAGCCTTTCGTGTAAGATTGTTACTTACGGTTCTTTTGCTTTTTTGTTTTGTTTTGTTTTCTGCTATAGTTAGATCTCCTAGAATAAAGCCTTGCACATAGTAGGTACTCAATAAATTATGTGAAGGAATGAAATATATTTTATTTAAAAAAATAAAAGTCCTTAACTGTTCTCTTTAAAAAAGTAAAACTCATTGCCTCCCTACACTGAAAGAATGCAAATTAACTCACCAACTGGCTACTAAGAAATGACCGAGATTCCAAAGTCAATGTTGTACAGGGTTCTAGGAGGGTTACAAGTACTCTCTATCTTTAAAGAGCTCACAGTTTAAGGAAGGAAAAAAAAAATTGATTAGGGAAGAATTAGACAACAAGAAAAGATTGTATATTGCTACATGCTAAGTCAAGAATTATGGTATTTAAGGGGTGTGTGTCCTAATTCCATTGCTGCACTAACTGTATGCACCTAAGGAAACTGGTGCCCCTCCCCCCTCAATGTCTTTATTTTGCAAATAAGGTGAAAGCACTAGGTGGTTTATTGGTTCATTCGCGTTTTTAATTTCTGTTGGCCTATTATTTGAGAGAAAGGAGAAGTCAGTTGAGATTCACATGTGAAAGTGGGTTAGCTGCTTGGCACCTCTCTTCCCCCACTCCTGGCTCTCAGCCTCCCAAGAAGCCACACTGAGGAAGTTCTAATAACCTTGGTTGACTGAAAATACATGCACACCAGAAAATTTTTCATTGAGCTCTGCTGAAGCTTAGCAAGTCAGACATATATCACGGCATTTAAATATATTGGTATTTTAAATCATTTCTAACATCAAAGTGTGAATATTATTAAAACTAGAAATATTTCATGTCATTAGCCATTTTCTTTTATTGTCTTATAAAGTCTCTCTGTCTCTGGTTGTGATGTATCGCTATGTCCTGTGTATAATGTGTTTTGGTTTGCCCAGGGAGACAAACCTTTTCCAGGTCTGGAGCCATGGATTATATACTTCTCTGTCTCTCTCTGTTTCCCTCCCTCTCTCTCTCGCTGATTCAGTGTTACACATGAGTGTTGTATGTACAAATGGTTCCAGACTTTTCTAAATAATATCCGCTCAGCCTAGTGAAAGGAAATACATGTCATACACTGTGGGGCAATATCAATTTGGTCATGGATAGTCCTTAAAGCCTGTACATCATGTTATCAACCTGGTATGGGCAACTGGTCTTGAACGGCCCCATGGGAGGCCAAGGAGGGTCTATCTCTGCGGCATGGGCAAGGGACAGCAATGTCTCTCTGCAGTAACGACAGTACTCATAAAAGTTACCATGTTAAGACATCTGGGCTATAGTAGTTTCTAGGGGAGGGTGGGAATGAAGGGGACATCCTGTGGAGTTCACCGAGCTCCTGAAAGACCTGGAACGATGTGCCAGTAAGCAAGGCACGGGAAGCCTCAGATCCTCGGGGAACCATCATTCCAGCTTACAGATGAGGGCGCAGTTTCTTGCTGCTTATTCCCACACATACCCATGCTGGTGGTGTGGCCCTGCATGGCATTCTCTCTCCTTCTCCTGACTTGTACATTGAAGCAAGCCATAAAGGAGAAAAAAGGGATTGAACCAGTGCTGCTTACTTATGTCTGTGCCTAGCACCCCCTAAGCACCCCTGCAATAAAATGTCTTCCCTCTGGGATACCTGAATTCCCAGTTTGCTTTTCCTTTAGCGGTGTTACCTCTTCTTATCATTTGTTCCACCAGAGACCAAAGCAGTCTTTCCAGAATATAGAAACATGAATCCCTCGGGCAATACACACTCCCTCCTCACTCCAGCTATTCTATAAAGACGGCAATTTCGCCTTTCATCTCCAGACAGTGCCTTCTACTCCCATTCAACAAGCTGCATGGGGTTGCAGGACATGACCAAACCTCTAAGTTGTGATTTTTGTGAATACAAGTTACCTGTGCAGATTCTTTTAAAGTTGGGATTTTCCAGAAGGTGTCCCGGTAGGCGGCACTGGAACCGATGTTGCCAGAACTCAGGGAACCAGGGATTCCTTGTATTAGTGTCCAGCTTTAGCTTCAGGAAATAATCATCAAATGACCTGACCTCTGGAGACTGTAGCTTTATTGTGATTCCCCCGTTGGCTTCCACCTCATAACCTTCAATGACTTCATCTCTGTCTGCCCATCCATCACTAAAAAATAAAAAATAAAAAATCAGGGTTTGGGAAGGTGAGAGAGAGGTAAACGTCTCACAAACAGAGCTCAGAGTTGTGCACGAATGAAGCAATTCAGCAAGGCTAAAGCCTATTTTAAGCTAGCATCACTACCTATCAATGACATTTCTTTGGTGGAGAGTAGAAAGTTCTGAAATCATAATAATCCTGTTTGACTTTCATGGTAGTAAAAGTGATGATGAAGATGATGATAGTAACAATGATAAGAACTAACATTTATTGAGCATTTACTAGTCACCAGATTCTGTGTTACTTACTTTTTCTGAGTCAGAAGGTGTTCTGAGACCTAGGTGAAACCAGGATACAGATCCAGGTTGTCTGGCTCTTAAGCCCAGTGCTCTTTACAACTAGATCACAAAGCCCATCAGTTCTCATCCAGACCACAAGAAAATAAGACTCAGGTACCCAGGGTCTTCATAATTAGAGCTCAACAAGGTTTCAAGGTTGCAATCAAAACCATTACACAAGCTGCATTACATGAGGTAGAACATTGATTTAGCTCAGAAACATGATAACCACAGATTTTGCTCCTAGACATTGTTCAAATTTGCATTGCTTAGAAAACACCAGATGCTTTCCCCCCTCCTAATGCTATTTCAAAATAACAGCAATGAAAGAAAACAATCTCACCCCCCAAAATAAAAGAATCCTCCTGTTCACTGATATTTTACTCAATGGGTTTGAATCTTTATTATTTGGTCACCTTCTAGAATGTCCACATCTGCCGTGAATGATACAGCTCCAATGTAAGCCAGGCCAACCCTCATGTGGGTGGTTGTGATCCCTCCCCAAGAGAGTGTCGAAGAAAAATTGCACTGAACAGAGTGAAGCATGCAAAGAAGACTTTATTCAAGACTATCCCAATAGGCCACAACTCTAAACCCAATCTGCTAGACCAAAAGGTGGAAGGGTTTTTAAGTGCTGGGATGAGCTAGTGAGAATGTGCTGGAGGACTTTGAGGGGAGCTTGGTCAACGTGGTTAAGCCACCTGTGTTTGGTAATTGCCCCTTATCTAAGTCAGGTTCTCACTTTCCCACAGAAACTGGGGGATAGATGTTTGCTATCATTTTTTTAAATTTGATTTTATTGTTGACAATATTACAGATGTCCCCCAATTCCCCCCTTTACCCCCTTCTCTCCA